CCCCCCCTCCCTCTTTCCTCTCCACCGTCTGTGCCTTGTCCTTGACTCTCGACTCCAGCGCCCCTCAGTTCACCCCACCACCAGCCAACAATCGTGCTCAACTTCCTCCTTTTCTTTCCAACTTCACCTCTTCCTCTAGTCTCGGTCTCTCTTGGCCCCTTCCCTTTTCTGCACTTTACAATTTCTCTTCTTAAGATTGGGACTTTCTTCTTCCCCCACTACGAGTCGTCTCTATCCGGGGCTCTGCCTGCCGTCTGCTCTTACCGGATTGACACAGACGATTCTCCCTCGGGAATGGCCTGAGGTGTGCCCCGCGTCGACGAAATCCTGCCTTGTTTTCTTGCATTCAGATCCGCTTCGGTAGCTCGCTTCTGCACACCCGCTGCAAGAAAAAAAAATACACTACACTTTTGAAAACGATTGAGACCAATCCAAGTCGCAATTGACTTCGACACCTTATTTCCCAATCGTTCCGACTTTGCCTCCCCCGCCCTCCCGTTCAATCCAAGATACCCCGACTCTCCCGAGTCCGCGATCTCACGGTGTTGGCTACCGGCCTTCAGCTAGCCAATTGCGCGCCTCTGGATCTCACAGCACGCATTCCTCGTACACCGATCATCCCTCATGGACACTGAACGAGAGCCCCTAGCTGAGATCTCGACTGCAAAGCCCGCCATGTCAGACATTGATAATAGGTCCGACACCACGGACGACGATCTCTCTCCGTCTCTGGCCACTACGCAGTCATACGCTTCCGTACCATCCTTGCGACCGACTATGGATAAGCCTACAATCAATCCCTCCTCGACGCACCTGGGTCAGATCAATGCAGCTCGACGAGGAGTCGGCACCGTCCCTCGTCCCCAAGCTTCGATGAGTGGCGCACAGCCGGGAGGATTGAATCAGGACATTCTGGCCAAAATGAAGGCATTCTCCTTATCTCGACAAGGGGCGCCGCCGAGTCTGACACATGCTAATACAACTAACTTCGTGCCTAAAGTCTCTTCACCACCCACCTCTAGCGCTAGCCCCGTTTCATCTCCGCCTTCCGCCGCGAACGGATCCCTTGGTGGTGCTTTCGCGGGCCGCTTGCCTCCTGGGGCGGTCCGGCCGGCCACCAAGAATTGGGTCTCATCTCCCTCTGTCCCTCATGGTTCGCCTACAAACTCGCCGAAACCCGGTGGCCTGGCAGCAAAACGAATGAAGCCCGGCCTCAAGCTCTCTGATGCAACTGGCTCGAAGAGCCCTGCCCCAGACGGACAGTCCAACGGTGAATCTGGAAAGCAGGAGACAGCGTTCAGCAGGTACTCTGAGTTTATCGACACGAAAGCGGGAACGCTCAATTTCAAGAACAAAGCAATCCTTCATGGCGGTGGAATCGAATTTTCCTCGGGCCAAAGTTTCAGCATATCATTAGACGAGGTCGACCGCTTGGATGAACTGGGTAAGGGTAACTATGGTACTGTTTATAAGGTTCGACATAGTCGGCCGCACATGCGCAAGCCCGGCCTGGGGTTGCGAGGAATTGTCAGTCGCCCAACGGAGCAAAACGGGGCAGCGAATTCGCAGGATTCGCTCTCTGGTGTTGTCATGGCGATGAAAGAAATCCGTCTAGAGCTAGACGAAAGCAAATTCGCGCAAATCATTATGGAGTTGGACATTCTGCATCGGTGTGTCTCGCCGTTCATCATTGACTTCTACGGCGCCTTTTTCCAGGAAGGAGCAGTATATATCTGCGTTGAGTACATGGATGGTGGCTCAATCGACAAGATCTATAAGGAGGGTATCCCGGAGAATATCCTTCAGAAGGTCGCATTGTCCACAGTCATGGGTTTGAGAACGCTCAAGGAAGACCACAACATCATTCATCGCGATGTCAAGCCCACGAATATCCTGATCAATTCGCGTGGACAGATCAAGATCTGTGACTTCGGCGTGAGCGGTAACCTTGTCGCCAGTATTGCCAAGACGAATATTGGATGCCAGAGTTATATGGCGCCCGAGCGTATCGCTGGTGGTGGCGTCCAACAGTCTGGTTCTAGTGGGGGTGGAACTTACAGTGTTCAGAGCGATGTGTGGAGCTTGGGTCTATCCATCATTGAATGTGCCATCGGCCGCTACCCTTACCCACCAGAGACCTTCAACAACATCTTCAGTCAACTACACGTGAGTACTCATAACATCCTACCTAGTGTTCTTCGGGGTTTTTGCGGTTCTAACATGTGATCTTCAGGCGATTGTCCATGGAGATGCTCCCACCCTTCCCGAAACCGGATACTCGGAAGAAGCGCACGCCTTTGTCCGCGCCTGCTTGGATAAGAATCCGAATAACCGCCCCTCTTATAACATGCTTCTTCGACACCCCTGGCTATCCTCGCTCATGCAACCCCCGGGCGAATCGGACGGAGCGAATGAAGAGGTCACGCCGATAGTCAATGGTTCTGGATCCGGGGGTTCGCCTTCGACTGAGGACCCAGAAGTGGCAGAATGGGTGAAGGAAAGGCTAGAGCGTCGTGAAAAGGGGCTTCTCCTTGAAGCAGATAAGCCGGCACTTCACGCAGTGGCTCTCGATGCAGTTCCGGGAAGCCCCTTGTTGGATGATCCATCCGCGATGTACAATCAGCGTTGATGGGTTACCGTTTTTCTCCTGTCACCGATCAACTGATACCATCGCTTCTTGGCTGCTCAATCACCTTCGTCAATCTAGACCTGTCACTTGATGGGTCGACACGAACGGGTGACACTGCTGGCGCTGGCGCCGTTCAGCCGGGGCTGTTGCCTCCATCAGAGCATACACTTCCCTTCCTTTTCACCTTTGGGCCATTAGTGTACTCGAAGGCTCTGGCCCCTGTCATCTATTCTCGTGGAAGAGCGGGATATGTGTTACTTTGGATGCTGTTTTATGCTGGCTTTTAGGCATTGATGTATAACGAATGTACAGACGTAATATGTTAGCTAGATTCTCCACGATGTACAAGCACAAGCACGGCCGTGTTGAGATAAATGAAATACTATACGCTGGTGGCTTGCTATAGGAGTTGTTTCTCTCCGCTTTGAATGCTTTCGCGAGGCCGTGTGTCTCGCTGCTCGCTCAAAGTAGCTAGGTACTGGTCCATGCCGTGGGACGGTAACAAATGAGAATAAATTGGCGACTCGCACGACTCTGTTGAGGTGGTTTTGCGTCAGCGTTCCTGTGTAATCCAGCCCACGTGATCCAGAGTCTTCATCTCTTGTTTACACGCGGAGAACCTCGCTAGTTACAACAACCAAAGAACCTCCAGGGATTCAAGAATCTTTACATAGCCCAAAACTGAGATCTTAAATTGCTTACATTTTTCCTTTGGTTTATTATAGAATATTAAAGGGCTTTCCAACAGCCAAGGTTGTGTAGTGTAATGGTTAGCACCCAGGATTCTGATTCCTGTAATCCCGGTTCGATCCCGGGCACGACCTTTTTGGGCTTCTGACCTTTTTGTCTACCGTAGGCTGGATACTTGCCTTTCTTTCTTTCTTTCTTTCTTTCTTTCTTTCTTTATTTATTTATTACTTCGATAAAACCCCCATCTTGATCACGAAGATCATACAATGTCCCATCGCACAACCTCGAAACAAGGCCCCGAAATCCCAACCGTCACCTAAGCGAATCTCTCATAGTAAAGTATCCAACTCCTTCCTCCTCACCGACCCGGAAAACATCACCAGGCAATTTGACAACCAGTAGTCCTTGATTCAAACCCGACCGGAGTAGTTACTTTACAGTACTGGGTACATCGGCACACCCCTCCTAATCAGTTACTCTGTAGTGTGGGAGAGGAGGGGGGGGGCCCACAATCGCCGATCAACCGCGTATATATACTTCATCAATACTGTACCACGTACCGCATACCACACGCCGCATATTGTACCGCGCGATGACGGCACCCACGCACCCAGTTCATTCATGCGTCTACATCACCCACCCAAAATCCCTCATACCAACCTAGCCATGGAGTCAGATCCAAAGAGGAGGGGTCAGCCCAAGCCGAACAAGGCAGGCCGCGCATGACACCTCCTCACAAGCGGCCTGCATCCGGGCACGCGACAGCCCCGGAAAGGGGGATTGGGGAAGGGGTTGAAGCTAATCCCCGGGGAGGGGAAGTACAGTGCATATTGTACAAAGACATAAGACATACTCCGTACACACACCTATAGACTTTCTCTCCTCTGCTTCTTGCTTATCCTCCTCCTGTCGCTCTAGTTGAGTGTGTTCCTCGTGCCCTACGGGAGATGGTTTTTCTCGGATGTTGGTGGGGTTGTTGTGTTTATATCGATGGTCGACTGTCTCGATCTGGATCGAGTATAGAGGGGCTTGCTCACTGTGCCCGCAACAAAGAAACGGAGTCTCCGTACCGACTACTGAAACCACATTATAGAGACCCAGGACTCGAGCTGGATTGTCCCACCCTCCGACACTAACAATACTTTAGATACAGTTTGCACGAGCAGAATCCCATGGTTGAGGTTCGTCTGGTCTGGGAAATTCTGGGGCTTTTTGTTTGCCCCTCTTTCTCGATTCTCGCAAGAAAGCCAGGGTCCGATGACTTGACTTTTGAATAGCTCAATTCCAGATCATATCCGAGTTGGTGGATTCAATCTGGGTATTCTTCCCTTCCACCCCCGAGTAATTGTTGGCTACTACTGACAGAAACAGTGCAAGAACGACGAGACTTGAGGGGAATATTAACACAGAAAAGGGCAAAACGGAACGCAACGCAACATGTTCATGACCCATTTGCTTGAATCAAACCAACGCCGCAGAGCCCCCAGTGGAATAATGATGTAGTTGGACAGCAGATAATGCAATGGCCCCTCCCGAGCGAGAAAACAAGGAGAAAAGAAGATAAGAAAGAGAAGAAGAAATAGGAACATCCAAAGATCAAGCAGAGGCCCACTCGACAACCTCCAAGGCACACATTACAAGGAAAAGAGTGGAGGGTAGGATCCTGCAGGTTCACGGTCAGTCATCAATTCTGGTTGCTTGAAGGCCAAAGACGCTGGTACGTACCACACCACATAACTCTGGAATAACAGTTTCGACATGGCGCTGACATAGACGTTGTTGATCTGACAGATTTGTGCCAGTTGCAGGGCCGATGGGGCGCCCGTGAGCAGGAAGCAGACGATGATGAAGATCGGGTCGTCCAGAATGCTAACCGGCACGTACTTGGCCAGCAGCGCGAGGATGGGTGCCATGATGAGCGTGGGCAGCACCATACGCGCCACCAATGAAGCGATGATCAGCTTCTTCTCCTCCCTCGGATGATCGACGTCTTCGAGAGCCTCCTTGGGCAACGTGTTACGCTCGAGATTCGCACCCAACACCACTAAGATTAATGGTACGGCAACTTGGCCGTTCTGGCTGATAGCTCGCGTCACTGAGTTGCGAACGAAGGTTCCCTCATCGAAGAACAGGCTTTGCAGCGAGGGAACGGACGCCACTACGATCGAGATGAGCATAGCCCACAGGGGTGGGTTCATGAAGTCCCAGAGTCCGTGGGCAAATTTCCGGGCACCGTTGGAACCAACCTTCAGCGTCTTTTGCACACCCACAGGCAGTCGTCGGAAAACTGTGCCGGTGGCCTTGTTCCAGACGCCTGCAATCTTACCACGAACCCGGTTGGCCGACCTCTTGATGCGTGGGATGACTCCGGGCTGGTTTTCTTCGGCCTGAGCTGCCACCTCCACATTCGGGAAACACATGATGTCGCCGGTAGTGCTCTGGCGGGGGAGGAACGGCCCCTGGGGAGGGGGTCCAAGTACGGTCGGGTCGATGGATTCGTGTTCACCGGCGCCATGAGACGGCAGCTTCGTGTAGGGGTAGTCCCGCACGCTCACGGGCGTCTCCTGCCCGGAAGTGAATGCATCGTCGTCGACGCTTCCCGAGGACTCCGTCACATCGTCCGACTCGCGAGTCCTCACTAGAGGTTCATCGGGATCAATCTGTTCAGGGTTGTCTGTGTATCGTTCCTGGCCCTGTCCGATAAGGTTGGCGCCCTGCTCCCGTTCGCCTTCTTCCAAGTACCGTTCTTTGGGAGCAAGCAAGACGTGGTAGCCCCAGCTCCAGCGCACAAGTTGGCCCAACTGCTGGAAAATCAAAAGGTAAAGGATACCACGCGCCGCCACTTCATCATCATTGTCGTTTGGTATACGATCCCAGTGAAGGCCCTGCAGGGTCTGCGAGAGGGACATGACAAGAGAAATAGGAAGCGAGTTAGAGTTTCCGAAGACCTGCAGCAATCGGGATTGTCAACACTGCGCTCAACGGAAAATGAAGCTTCGTCCAGGTCATCTTTGGCACTTACCGCCATAGCCGCAACAAAGTTGGAAGGTCGTTTCTTGAGCCGCAAGCATCGTGAGACGACGAAAGCACACGAGTACGACACGATTGTTTGAACAACGAAAATGGCAGGGATGATGGCGAGGTCGGTCAGCTTTTCTGCTGTGAGCTGAGATCCGAGCTTTGTGAAGACTACAGACAAGCACAGTCAGCAAAAACTCAAGGTGCTTGGACAGTGTGTTATGTTTTTCGACATACTCAGACACGGTGTAAACAGCGTAACATTTAGGTTTGCGACCAATTTCTGAGCATCGGCATCGAACAGACCCTGCTTAGCAGCGAAGTATCCCGGGAGACTGACACAGACTACCTCGAGGACAGCTTCGAAGACGAGCAGCACGAGGTGGAAGAAGGATGGGTGATTTGAATGGGGAGCGCCACTTGGAAAAATGACGGAGCCCAGTCCCGGTTGGGACTGGGTCATGATTTGAGGCGATAGAGGCGAGTGAGCATTCTGAAGGGACCTGGGAGAGGTAAAAATGGCCATCGACGGGCGGGCGGGCGGGCGGATGGGCGATAGGGTGAGACGGGTTTTGACTGTAACGCAGAAAGTGAAGGTATGAAAGGGAGATGGTAGACTTGAGATCGAGAGAGAGGAGAGGGGGGAAGAGTAGGGTGTGTTCCAATGGTAAGTGAGGGCGATGACGCGGACCAGACTGGTCGATGATGAGATTCTTTGAGATAACGGAGAAGGCGGTGGACGAATGAGAGGTCAATTAAGGTTGGAGCTGCTTTGGGTTTAGAGCGTTTTTCTCGCCCTGCAGGCAGTGTTGCTCGATTCAATAGTAGGAGTACTCCGTACAATGTTAAGGTACAGTTAGTCCAGGTACTCAGTACTTCAGTCCTCAACCATTAGTACGGAGTACTTATGTTGATATACAATAGGTTAGTTAGTATATGAGAGTAATCCCATTGCAGCACCTAACTACTCAGCATCCCCCGAATCTTACACAATAGCCGCATAGGTCGAATGAAGAATGAACAAACCCTTGAAGGAACCAGCCGTAGCTGGTTTCGGGTAACGCCAGGGCGTACGGTGGCCTCCGATAGGCGGAGTCAAGGGGGGCGCGGTCCATCGCGCCCAGCCGTGCCAAGGCAGCCTGGTTTCCAGCTCTAGTACGGAGTAGACTGGTGAGCTACTCCGTTTAGTAGACTACCAAGTACCTAGATTCCGACGAATACTGAAGCACTGCACTTGTGTCTGGTCGATAACCTCTGTGACCCATGTTCTATACTCATACAAGCACTAGTACTCCGTACTTGCTCACTTAATTCTCGGATGTTTTCTTTTCTTGACAGCCTCCTACCCATCCCTCCCTCCAACAGGCGATCCAACAGGGTTGCTTGGCAGGGTGATACGGAACCATGGAGGGTGAAGTCATAGCCACCACCCTTGGCGGACAAAGACAGAGGAATAGCCACCAGCAAGGGTGGGTGAAACGTGTCCCTTGGCTACACTGCCAATATTCGGTCTGACTCGCTCACTGAACTCCAGATGTATAGTACATGTTGTACATAGTGCCGTGCCGTGCAGTTGATAGTTACGGAATGCGAGGGAAAAGATTGATAGTATCATGATGATGAAACCCTCCCCCCGCCGTGGTTATGTCATGATCAGCAGCCAATGACAGGCAATTTGACGCACGGCAACATCACCCGATCAGAATCCGACCCTTCCATGTGAAACCCAAAAGGTAATAGTGGGTTGTCTCAAGGCCTCAGAGATTATTGCAGATAGGTACAGAGTAGTAGATAGTTAGATAGATCACTGCATGTTTATCGGCTGTGGTCTTATGCGTATTCCCACCCATCGTTCAATTGCTCCAAGTGACACTCCGTCCCGACGATCGTCCTCGCTAGTTGCTGCATCAGCCGTCGGTCATTTAACGAACCTGCGTAAACTCTACAGTAGTTCAGGATATCCTGTTCTTTATTTCGTACTTTTGACACTGTCTGCTACCGCACCTTCCTTTGCATGGGAGAATGTAGTATGATGTGCAAGAAAAAAAAAAAAGGGAAACAAAACCTTAGAGGAGGGGATGGGAATACTTCCGCAGCAGCTTCCCCAATGTCTCGGTGGACTGCAAACGATACGTAGTCATAGCAGCTGCTGCTATAGGGCGGCCGCCAGACTAACTCCAGCAGCCCTAGCAGGGTCCGTTTGGCACCTCGGGGCAGGGCAGGCCCAGTGTTACCCGCTGGCAATGGACTGGTAGCCTTCCGAATTGGGCTGCTGTGAAGATGCAGGGACGGCCAACTGCCCGGTCTTTTCTGCTCTGTCGCATTGAGAACTGAACTGGTGATCGATCAGAAACCGCCATCGGACATGCCATCCTGAAAGTACCAGGATCACAAGAGATAAATACACTAGAGTATGATCATGGGGGCTGGGTGGCTTGATCCTTAGGCCAACCACAGCCACCAGGCGGGTTGATAGCCAAGACTGGGGAATCTAGTAAGTTAGTGTTGATGACTACTCCTCAAGTAAGGCAAGCCGAGTAGGTTATACTCGTAATTAGGTTTGATGATTGACTGTGATGGCCGAATCTCCTAATCCTGACAGTTGTTTTGGGTATGAGTAGTCTATGGCCGCGTTCCCACTGGAATCCAATTTGTCTCTGACAGAATGGACGGACCACGCGGCCTCCAAGGCACACCCGGTAGTTGGGACGAGGATCTTATAGGGTGCTTGGCACCCACCGATGATGTCGGCCCTCTCCGTTGGATGTCATTCCTCGCCCTGGTATCACGATTCGGAACTAGCCTTTCTATCGTGCCCCTTCTATTGGTCCCCAGTGATTGCAGCAGCGGGGAGCAACGGCATCGGGCTCAGTGCTCTTACCTCGCCAAAGCAGGGAAATTGTCAGTTAGAGGGGGGGAAAAGGAGCAGTACGGTAGTCGTTTCGTAGCGCGACCTCGTCCGTTGGTTCTCCGGGACTAGGCTACACTGATTGGCAATCGAGCGGTTCCATCCATCAGTGACCATCGCCAACAGCGACTTTTTCAGGCTTTGCGCCTCGGCAGCGAGTCCGGTAGGTAGGGCACCACATCCGCCGATCCACCGGACGGCTTTTCACTTTGATGTCCCTGAGGTAGTGACTATCATACTCAGTATCATCGCAAATCACCATCCAGTCTATCTATTTCCGATGTCGACAAAACGGTGATCCATCGGTCGATGAGGGGTGGCAATTTTCAGGCAGAAATGACTTTCTTTTTGGATCGCCCCAAGTGCAGGCAGGACCATAGATACTCATACCTGCGTGCGGCCAGAGTTCGGTGTGGGGGGTGGCGGGGGAGGGGGAGATACGCGGAGAGTTTGGAGCGAGAGGTAAGGTGGAAAGAGCAGCAGCATTTTGAATCGAGTGGGGGTGTACAATGAGCATTGAAAGAAAATTGTTTTTAAAGAAGAGAAGGGGTGGTAAGAGGTGATGATGGATGATGATGATGGTGGTGGTGGTGGTGGTAGTAGTAGTGATGGTGATGGTGTCAGTGACAATGATGAAAGGGACTTGAAGCAAGGCATTTCACTCAATCTAGGCTAGTAGCAGTCGATTAAAGTGAAATGTGCCTGAGGGGCACGTGTAATTGGCGGTCGGACGGGGCGAGGGAAGCCTGAGGCGCTTTTCATCACAAGATGAACAAACAGGGAGGGAATCCAGTTTTGCGTCGATTTACAGTGATGTGAACATGTATGTATATGAGTATGTATCTCTTCCATTATTAGTCGTGATTTTAATGTTATGGTTTTTCTTTTGTCTTTTTTACGTATAATTAATTAGAGTACGTTATGGCTGATCATCAAGTATCAATGCCTATTCATTGATAACTAACAACTAACTTAACTATCGCTACCATCCCATAACTAATAACTAATCCATCCATATTAAGATTCAGCTTCCGTCCTGACCCAACCTCGTCGTTTGCTTCTTGCTGAATTAGTTGTTGTTGCTTGATTGCTTGATCGCTTTTCTGGTTATTTTATTTTGACTTCGTGGGCGGCTGCCTGCTTTGCTTTAAATAATTGCGTGGTTTATTATTATAATTATTGTTGCTATCATATCCGATACCTCCAGTTCCACTACGACAGCGGCGGCGGCGGGCGGACGAGGGGCTAAGGTATTATATTAATGGTTCATTAGCTCATGACCAGTTCCAGTTCTTGCTCCTCTTGCCTGCTCTGGTTCCCCATCTCCGTTCGTCTCCATCCACCATCCACCATCTTCCCTTTCTTTCTAATTCCCTCTTCACTCTTCCTCTTCCTCTTCCTCACCTCTTTCGCTTTCACCCTTCAGACTCGGAATCTCGATCACTTTCGCTCCGCCTCCTCCCCTCCTCTCTTTCCCCCCCCCCCCCCCCCCCCCCCCCCCTCGCCCCCGCACCTCTTCCCTCTGCAATATCAAAAGATGAGTGTTGAGTCTTCTTTTTTTCTCCCTTTCTTTCTACTCCCCTTTTTTTTTTCTCTCGAAGAAAAATCCTCTTGTGTCCTGGAAGTGAGCCATTTTAAGGTTCGAGATGGTGCGAGTCCATCCGTGGACTGCCCGTTGGGTCCTGGTGTCATCATGAATCACACCAGAGGATCAGACAACATAGACATATTTCAGAAGCAGCGCAAACAAGCAGGGCAACAACACCGGCGGGGATATCATCCTTGATTCGGCCTGCTCTATAAGCGTAGTTCCCCATCAATCGACACAACCATATCTATACATACCTATATCAATCAACTCACCGCTCCTCTACTCGGCATAGATCAAACAATCCCCTCCCTTCTCTCTCCTCGAAATCTAGCTCTAAAAGCCCTGATATATACACCTCCTAAGCCCCCGCCACCCTCAACCCCATCACGCCCCTCCCCTGCCCCTCGCCCCCGAGAACCTTCCCCACAAACTCCCCCAATCCATCGATCACCACCTCCGGCCCCGCCGCCTCGCACTCCGCCTGATCCCCCTGCCCAAACCGACACCAACAGACCGGACACCCCAGATTCCTCGCGAACCGGATATCGGTAATCGTATCGCCCACCATCAGCACCCGCCGCATATCGACCCCGCCGTCCCTCTCCAACCACTCCGCCGTCTGGCCCGAGGCCGAGAAATACTCGCGCAGCCGCGGCACCAGCCCCTCCCCGAACCCGGCGGGGTCCGGCTTCCGCTTGCCCCCGGGGAACACCCCGTCGCCGAGGACCAGCGCCTCCGGGATGAACTCCAGGAAGCCGTGGCGGTGCAGCGCGGCCGTGAGGGCGCCCACGGCTTTGTTGCTGATGATGGCCACGGGGAGGCGGTGGGTCTGCGTGAGGGCGCGCACGAGCGCGTAGGCGTCCCGGTAGGGTTGCGTGAGCGGCTGGCCGTGTTGGCGGTAGAGGGCGCGGTAGGTGGCGATCCAGGTGGGCTCGTCAAAGGTGTCCAGGGTGGTTGGGTCCTGGAGAGCGCGGAAGGTGACTTCGGGGCTGTGGCCTTGGGCAATGAGGGCGGTGAGCTGCGTGGTGGGGAGCGGGTGGTCGGGCAGGAAGTGGTGGAAGGTGCGTTGCATCGAGGTGTAGATGGCCTCGTGGGAGTCGAAGATCGTGCCGTCGAAGTCGAGGATTATGAGGTCGTATTTTGAGGGCATTTTAGTGGGGGGAGGGGGGGATGTGTTGTGAGTTGGATAGTTGAGGTCGATATGTTTGTGCTATGAACCTTTTTTGAGATTGTTTTTTCTGGGAAAAGGGAATAAGTGTCTAATGTGATACAGGTGAGTTTGAAAACGTATGAAAGAATATGAGTCAAGGTTAATTTACTTTTTTTTTTTTAGAGTTCTGCTTGTTACAGCCGTTATCCGCATATCTCGGGAAGATCTCCGGATTCGATGAGTAACCCCCCCGCACAATCACGATGCAACTTCGATTCGATTGGCAGGACATGTTCTAGTGCCGGGCCGGGTGTCTGGCAATTGGGCAAAAAAAGATCGACCCAATTGGTTTTGGAGGATGTTCGGTCCCAGGCTGGGTATTCAACGTGCAAAAAGGTCGTGCCCGGGATCGAACCGGGATTACAGGAATCAGAATCCTGGGTGCTAACCATTACACTACACAACCAATTGTTGAGAAATGGCACAATCTTTGTAGTTATACCCTAGTGCAAGGCTTGAAGCTCTGTAATGCAAATTAGCTTCGACGCTCTACCAGGAGTAAATGGCAAAATATTCGAGACAAGCTATGTGTGCCCGGCTGAGCATTAATAGGCCCGGAGAAAAACACCTACATGTGCCAGCTTTCATTTGTGTCAGTCATCCCCCTCAGTGGCTTCTCCATATCGCTCAATCGAAGGATTGCCAGCGCGCGATAGATACTCTCCACTCCAGATCGTGGTAGATTTCTGGGAGGATAACTGGGGGCTTGACATTCAGCTGTGCTATCTGTGGATGATGAGGCCAACGCTTGAGAGCTAGGGCTCGGGCTGCGACCTGTTGGTCGCTCGATGACATGGCATGCTTCCTTGTATACTGGGTAGGCGAGGACCGCGGTATCAATGTGGTAGGCTGACTATCTTGTTCTATCGATATATTATTCTGTGGGTCCCTTGCTTCGCAAGTATGGGTGATGTTGGTTCGAGGGACGTGTCTGAAATGGCTCGGTGTTGATCTTGCCGGGCTGGTTCACTCGACGGCTCGCGGGTATGGTTGAATGGCGAAGTCATGGGGCATACTGCTGGGCTCCCTGGTATATGTAACCTGCCTACTGACGTACGTGTTGGGCTTCCCAGGAGGCCCCCCGTGTGCCATGGGGCGATACGCGCATGATATCGGGTCTCGAACGGTGATGCGGATTTGGTGTCTGTGTGACTTGGTTGTGCATGTTGCCTTCTACTCCCGGTAGAAAGTAGACTGATCACTGATCGACGGTGCTGACTACGGCTGCATGAGATGGGCGACGACTGGTATGATGATCTCTCTCAGGCGATGAGCAACGGATTATTGCATGCCGAATGGTGCCTTCGGAGTGGCGTGGATGACTTTGGGTGTTGTACCACTTAGGTCGAGGGTTCTATCGTGGGTGTTTGTGACCCATAGCTTTGTTCGTGCTGCTTGTACTGGACAGAGTAATGCTTGCGAGGGCTGTGTGTCTCGCGTCGACCGTGCGTTGGTCGCGGTTCCTTGGGGTTTCCGCCTGGTGGCTTGTGCAGCAAGCTGCTCTATACTCGAGGGAATTCGCATGGGCTAGTGTTTCTGGTTCATGTCCCCTGATACCCACAGCAGCCGTGCAGCTCTAGGTTACAGGCCGATAACTCCCAACCCGCCAACTTCTCGTTGTGTTCCATGGTCAAATTAGCGTCAGGGATACGTTACGCTGGCTATGCTGTTCTGGTCTGAAACACGTTTCCTGCACTCGGTGACACTGGGTCTAGCTAGGTGGTAGGTTCCCGTCCGGATTCCATCCGGGTGGCAGCCATGGATGTACTGTGCAGCAGGGTAGTATCATATTCACCGATGACATCGCTGCCGAGTATCACCGCTGGATATGTATCCCTATTCGGCCTGCGACAGCAAAACCGGCAAGCGATGAGGAATGCTGCATTCCCGCCAAGATAGGAAGAATGCTGACATCCGTCAGTCATCGGGTATGAAGTGGAAAATGAGGTCATAGATTCGTTGTTCAGAAGTCATCTCGTGGCTTTTGTGTACTTTGAGCTCATTCATTAAGATCATATAACCATGATTGCAAGCCACAACAACTACTAGGTTGTGTAGTGTAATGGTTAGCACCCAGGATTCTGATTCCTGTAATCCCGGTTCGATCCCGGGCACGACCTTTTTGCATGTCGAATTCTTTTTTTTTCTTTGCAGTTTCTGGGATCGGCTTGCGTAACACTGCACTCACGCTGTTCCAGCCGAAACCCGTGACAATAGCATTATCTCAAACCGTCTTCCTGTACCACCACCTCCAGCATGGATACCTTATGCCGACTGCGACATCACCACAATGCAATGTTTGCCCCGTGGTATCACCATACTAGCATCAACAACATCACCTTGCCCACCGACTGCATCCCATGATCCCGACTGCCATCAAAATGAAAACGTCAACTAGAGAGCACAAACATAGTCGCATATCGCCATCAGCGCAGCCCGCAGCCCGCGGCTTCCGGTCTCCGTAGAAGTTAGTAACTTATACACGCACCCAGGGCTAAGTATAGCCCGCGTGGCAATGAGTCTGGCACACAGCCACTTAACTCAGACAACACCTCCCCAAAGTCTCGGACTTGTAATCTGTGTTCGCTGCAAATAGACAATCTAAAATCATAGTGACATAGTCTAGCAATCTATGTATACGAAGTCAACAAACCACCTCGACGATTCCGAGCGGTCGATACCTTATCCCGGCTATTTTTGGACGGTGTCTTATCCATGGTGGAGACAGAAACGACTAAGGCAGCAGCGGCAAGCCGAGGCGGGTTAGTCTGGTCTGTCTGCAGGCGGGTGTACTGTACACTATACGGAGTAGACAAACCGCGGGTTCGTGGACGCTTGCTTGCTACGTATCAGTTAACCACTACGTACGTGCGGAATTGTTTTACTCGTAGCTTAGTTCCGAGGGAGCCATCAACAAAAGACCGCATTACCGGTGTCCACGACCGGACTACGGGGTTGGTCATGGGACTTAATCAACGGGCGTTGTTGGGTACCAAGAACTTGATGGTTCTACAACGTTCTCTACCGGTTCCTTGGCTAGTGTACCCGACACGGCCTCGGCCGGTTGAGTCTCGGTTGGGTAATAGTTTATTTGTTTTCTGTTGCGTCCCAAGGTTGCGGGGGGGGGGCTCAACATGTTCATTTCTTGGGTGTGAAACTGTAACCAGGAGATAATGTTGATGTCATTAAATTGCTGGGCAACGTTGAATATTTCAATCATATATAAGCCAAGACATGACTGATGTGAGACATATGAAATGTTGGGGATAGAGTCGCATGGTGAGCGAGTCGGGTATCAATAGACAAAGAATGAAAAAGAAAACAATCAAGCAATAGTGGCGTCGACAGTAGACGTATATCGAGACGTCACTTTGCAGTAGTAAGTGTGTAGTTGTAACTTGCGAGCTGGCTGGAATGCGGGGTATCGCGTGATCACCGCAGCCGTGTGCATCGCTAGGTTGAAACTGGACCAGGAAGGCTTGCTCGCATAGACGGAACCTGCCGCCCCCCTACTAAGCCCCGGAGCTGCCGGATTCCCCAGATGATGAGAGGCTTAGACGGCATTGTTTATCGTGGTCATATGGATGCTCTGTTGAACTCCATTCCCAAGGCCGATACCCAGCGGTTGAATGCTGGCAGCGGTGATTTAGAACAAAGCGTGAAAAAAGTTCGAAAGGTAGCCGGGGTGCCACTGTGCTGGGTCCCCATGTATCTTTGCAATGTAGGCAGATTTGGTGCGATGGGGGTTTGCGTAGATGGATGGTTATCGTGTTGACAGGTCTAGACTTTCCGTGTTGCATTAGGCTTGAAAGGAGGTGACGCGCTATTGTTGATAATTATATTGCAGGGATGTCGAGCTTCCCCAGCCTCCAGACTAATTGATGTAGACCATCACAGCAAAGGAGACCAGGCAGAAGCAGAGAGGGATATAGACTTTCCGGTCCATATCGCGGTCGAGTGGGGAAGACGGAGAGCCAGCGGAGCGAGGACGAGTAGTCGACTTAGTGTGCTTGTGGACCATGTTCAGATAAGACGGCGCTTCTTGCCTCTTCTTGTTCTTGTTGCTGGTGTTGTGATTGATGTTGTGAGGCTGGGGATAAGTTGGGTCTGTCAGGAAGGGATGAAAGAGGAGAAGGATGAGGACTACAAGGACAATGGTGAAGACAGGAGGAAAGAAGAGGGGGAAAGGAGGGGAAACGAGGATCGGGTGATCAGCAGCCAACGTGGCGCCCGATCACCCAACAAGATCGCAGCATCCCGCACCGTGGCCGCTTTCAGTGCCTTTCTTCCCCAACCTTTGAATCTTCAACCCGCTGACTGATTGTTGTCATGTGAAAGAGAGGTCGTTGAGCCGCCCGCCACCTGTTTTCTGAGGCACCAACGGCAGCCGCTCAGCCACCCAGCCACCTGAAGGGCCCAAGTTCGATTCTGCGCGGGGTCAGTTCTAACTTCTCAGGTCTTCTTTCTTTTTCCCACCTCTCGTGTTGTTTGTCTGCCAACTCTGCAGGATTCACGTGGAGGGGCCGGAAATCCAACGCGGACAGCGGGACCAAAGTGACAGGGCAGGCAGGATCCAGTTGCAGGTCCAGGGGAAGGTGCTCGTAGATTACACCAACCCCCTGATTGTCTCAGGTTGAGGCTGATGACAGCCAGTCAGGATGATGGTTTAATGACCTCGTACTTTGTGCACGCTACATCAATCTCCCGCAACGCGCCAACGGGCTAATCAACTGGACTGCTTGCTCGGGGCGTCTATCCGAATGCAGCGCAGAACAGTAGTACGTATAGTAACGCTCATCTAAGACATGGTCATGGCGGACCAACTGATATGAGATAGTCCCTCTAGTGGATTACCCCCCCGTTCGTTGTTCAGGGTTGGAAAAAAAAAAGGCGTCCCTTTTTTCACCCTTGATTTCGCACGCGTCAATACGACATCAGTTTGCCCTCTTCTCGTGCCTGTCAAGAGAAAAACAAAAATAATCTCCGGGTGAGACATGGATTGTCTTCTGACCTGCAAAATGGTCATCCAGCCGAGGTGCGCGTCGCTTAGGGCCGAGTCAGTTCGCCCACCAGCCCTTTTTTAGACATCACCGCATCTTTTGCGCATTATTTGGTGACCCATCGTTGCAAACTTTGTCCTTTGATGTGACCACCAGTCGCATTGGATTGCCTGACATTTGTATTGCGGTTCTAATGAAGAGCCATGAGTCCAAGGGCGGCGATCCATGGCTCTCATCCGTCCCCATGGATTGGTCTCGATCGCATCCCAGCGAGCAGTGCTGCGACAGTTCTCTGACACGATCCGCAGAAGAGGGCACCAACAGTTGGTCAGATTGTAGTGTACTCTAGTAGCGAGTCCTAATCTCCGTGGGGGTTTGCAGTAGAGCCATCGATAGGAGCGACCGTGGCGAAAAGGGAGTGTGGTTCAGGACTTGGCCCCTTCGGCTCCGGCTCACTAAAAGTCATAGCGAGTATCGTTGCCTAACTAATCAATCCAAACAGTCCACTTTAGTTATCCCATTGACTAATAGGGTAAATCGAATCGGAGAATAGGGCGAATGACACCGCGACTTGAACATTTGGAACCTCTCCCATGGAAGGAGGGGAGGAACAAACAAGGAGAGACCATATCATCTCGAAGGGGTCGGTAGAGGGAGAGAGAGAGACCTTTCGAAGGACTCGTACTCTAGAATCACTAGTTAGGTAGGTAATCACAATACTTTGTAGGCTAAGGTGACACATACCACTGGCACAAGCTTTGAGAGAATCTGGTTGGACCTTCGTATACGCGCAAGCGCAAACTGTTCGCAGCCCTGAGCTTTCCCCGGGCCCTTCCAAAAGGGCAAGTGGATAAAGCCCCAATCTGACTGACCCTCTGGCCCTTGGGCAAGTTAACGAACTGACGCCAGTCAAAAACCCTTCCACTGCCTTGTGCTGGGGCCGTCTTCAGTGTCTGACTCCACTTTTGCACTTGCGATCACTTGAATTGATTATTATTGTCTTGTCTTGTCTTGTCTTTCCCTTCTGCCTCCTGCAATCAAGATTGTCTGACCACCCACCCGCCATCCGGATCCGTGACTGACTGACGCAGTCGCCTCTCAGTCTCTCAGTCTCTCACTTGCTCACTTGACGGTGCCTGCCCAGACTTGCTCGCATCCTTCCTTCAGCCCTTAACCCTTAACCTGTAACTTAACCCTTAACGGATTCTACTCCTCCAGGAGACGAACCAGGGGAAACACCACCCTGTGCAGTGCCTTTTTACTTACCCCCAATTATCATCCTTGGTTCCGTTGGTTCACCAGGGCATTCCCTTCATATTCTCGGACATAAGCGTAATTCTTGAGTCAAACAGAGGTATTAATATCTTTTCCCCTTCGCCTCTATGACGGTATGTGTACCGAGTACCCAAAAAACAAAAAAAGAAAGAAACCCACTTGCTGTTAGTAGCATCCATCATTCACTACTAACTACTACATACTAAGTAGTAACAACGGAAGTTTAATCTTTTCCCACTAACCTTTCCTTCTTTGGGGTTCCTGCCACCGACTGGGTCCTCCTCCTGTCACTCGCTGCTCATAAATCATAATTACCGCCGCCCAATTCCTCTCTCGCTCCAGCAAAGTAATCTTGACGTTTCTTACTTACTTCACTACTACTTAACTGTCTGGATTTCTCCCACTTCCCAGCTTCCTTCTTGCCCACGGGTTTCTTCCACATCTCTCTCGTTTTCATACTTAGCAAGCAACAACGTCCTTGCGCCTGCTGGTTGCCATTCCACCTTCGCTTTCCCTTTACCCCCCCACAACACACACATTCGTTGACCTTGATCTTACCGATCACAACAACCATCATCATGTATTTCACATACGCCGCCGCCGCTGCGCTCTCTGCAGTGCTTCCTCTCGCCGCTGCGCAGACCTACACCGACTGCAACCCCCTCGACAGTAAGTTGCCTTGTCTCCGCGGCTCTCATCTACCCATCTAACTTGTGCAACAGAGACTTGCCCTGCTGATACAGCCCTGAGCTCTTCTACTTTCTCTTCCGACTTCACTCAGGGCGAATCTTCCTTCGCTGGATGGACTGCCACTGCTAACAACGTCACCTTCGATGAGAATGGTGCTGCGTTCACTATCAACCAGAGAGGCCAAGCTCCCACCATCCAGACCAACTTCTACTTCTTCTTCGGTAGAGCTGAGGTTGTCATGAAGGCTGCCAGCGGTACTGGTATTGTCAGCAGTATTGTCTTGGAGTCGGACGACCTGGACGAGGTTGACTGGGTGAGCTTCCCTCTTCAATCCTGTGCTTACATACACTATGATACCCTTCTATCGACTCCCCTCATCTTTCCTACGCCTGCCTACTCGCATTGGCATAACCTCATGCTGCATGAATTGCTAAACTAACAGCACTGGTGCTTGTAGGAAGCTCTGGGCGGTGACACTACCCAGATTGAGACCAACTACTTCGGCAAGGGTGACACTACCACCTATGACCGCGCTACCTGGGTTGGAATCTCTTCTCCCCAGGAGAACTGGCACACTTACACCGTCGACTGGACCGAGACTGCTCTGAACTGGTACGTTGATGGTAACCTGGTTCGCACTCTGGCATACAACGACGCCTCCAGCGGCACTCGCTTCCCCCAGACCCCCATGAACCTGAGAATCGGTATCTGGGCCGGTGGTGACTCCGACAACGCCCCTGGAACCATCGAATGGGCTGGTGGTGAGACCGACTACAGCCAGGCTCCCTTCACCATGTACGTCAAGTCTGTTTCGATCACCAACAACAACCCGGGCTGCAGCTACACCTACGGCGACAAGACCGGTAGCTACAGCAGCATTGTTGTGAACAAGGACGGTTGCGACGTCACCGGTGGCGCTTCCTCCTCTGCTCCTGCCTCTTCCTCCACCACCTCCGCCGCTGCCTCTTCTGCCTCCTCCGCTGGTTCCTCTGCCTCCTCTACCTCGGGCGCCGGTTCTTCCACTGGTTCTTCCACCGGTGCTTCCGTCAGTGCTAGCGCTACCGGTGGTGTCATTGGTAACAACGCCGGAGTTGGTGCTCTCGTCTCGGCTGCTGCTGCTTCCACCCCCGCTGCCGCTGCTTCCTCCGGTGTGGTTGGTGGTGGTGCTGGCGGTGCTGGTGGTGCTGCCGCCTCCTCTTCCGCTGCCGCCGCTTCTTCTTCCGCCGCGGCCGCGGCCTCCGCCTCCGCCAGCGGTCTCTTCACCGGTGCCGCCTCCACCGTCACCACTTCCGTGGGCGCCATGCTTCTCGGTGTCTTCTCCGCTATGCTGTGCTTGTAAAATCATTTCCTCGCTGGAATTGATTTTGCGTGTCATCCTTGAACACAGTCATACGTCATCATCCCCCCCAACCCTTTATCTTTTTGCTTAATCATCTTCGCTGCATAACTTTACACCACTTTTTATCTGGATCTGTACTTGTACGGTTTGTACATAACTTGAGTTGGGTTGCTTGGAGAAACAACACCGAAAGCAGGAGAGGGAGGACATGGATACACGGAACTGTTTGCTTTCTTTGATTTTGGTTCTATACATTGTTTCTTTTGGCAATTGGGAACTGGAAGCTAGATTACACAGCTGGGACATTCTTGTGTCTGACTTTGTCTTGGACGGAGGGCAAGAGCTCGTTATCTTCTTGGTCTTGACCCCCAACTACTTTCTTCACACATCTCCAAGTGACTCTCTCGCTTTTTGCTTGGGCAAACATGCTTCGTTCTACCGGGCGCTTTCATTTGCTCATCTGATTACCCTGTCTGTCTTGCTTATTGGCGTGTGTGCTTTTCCAGCGAGAAAGGTAGCCTTTTGCTAGTAATAGTAATACTATTCTCTTATCGAGATCGAGGGATTACCGCAATAGGGTTGGTTCTACGAGTACGATCTAGATAGTGGAGCATACATGGGTACGTACATGTACATGGGTATTCGTAAATTGGATCAATTGATTGATGGACCTGGAAAATGTGGGGGTTCCTAATTCTCTTGGCCTTATGCATGCATATGGATATGGATCATCGCTGGGCATCAAATGTGTGTAGCTCTGAAACAAACCGATGTCAAGGTATGGCGATTACTGTATGAGTTTACGACATCGCGTGCATTTGTGGAATTTCCCCGTGTAGATGATGCATCGTACTCATCATTGCGTGTGTTGCGATCAGCGAAAGACGTATCAGGTATTACTTTGTTGGGCGAATTTTTCTTCTCGGTTTTCCTCATGTCGATCGTGATATCAAAAATGCAGGCCAGGTTTATGAGGACCGTGGTATGACGTACACATGTCTTACTTGACTGCGGTTGCCGTTGGCGAGAAACAGAAAAAAAGGCTGATTCACATACATACGCGCCATCATTAACCCACATCAAGAGTGAAACATCCCCCCCTTCTTGTTTTGGAGGCGTTGTAACCCGTCCGATAGCTTCTTGATCACGTCCATGACCGGTTGATGGCGGGTCGCTGCCTCTTGGAAGAGGGTGGGGAGCTGCGGGTAGTTGTGATGCTGGTGGGGGTGAGAGCTTGATGCGGGCGGTTGGGGGGAGTGATGATCTTCGCCATCGTGGTGGTGGTCATTGCTATCATTATCCTCATTATCCTTGTTGTTTGTGTGGGGTTGCGACCGCGCACTACCACCCCCGAACAATGCGCCGACCATGCCTTTGAGCCCCGAAGACGAGGACGACCCTGGACCCTGGAGATGGTGATCATCATTTCCCCTTCGGGCCAGTCGATTGGTCTCCCGCTTGACGACACCGGCAATGGACTCCAAGTGATCGTCTAGGGTGGCGAAGTCCCCCAGCAACGAGTCGGCCTTAGTTTGCATGCGCGACGTCAGTTGATCGACGTATTGTTCCCGGCGCGTGAGTTGCGTGGTGGAGAGACGCGCGTCCGGTGAGGTGTTGGCGGTCGTCGCCGCCGCCGGCGCCGCCGAACCGCGACCGCTACCGCTACCGCTGCCCCGCGTGGCGATCAGGCTGTCCACTGCCGATCGGAGGTCGGCGTGCAATGAGTCGAACCGCCGGGTGGCCGTGCGGGTGGCTTCGAGACAGCCGGAGAATTCTAGGTCCAGCTCGTGCTTGCTTCCCGGGTACTGTTTCTTGAGGAGTTGGTGGATGTCGCGTAGTTTGGATTCGGTGTGTTTGAGGGTCGTGCTGTGCGGGGCCATGGTTCGGAGGGTGTTGTTGAGGAGGGTCTCGAGCGGCGTCTGGGTTGATATCGAGGCTGGCCTGTTGTTGTTGATGTGGTTGGGCTTGAGGTAAAGAGGGATACAGCTGGTTGGGTAGAGGGTTGCCAGGGCCGGGAGAGAGCAGAGGGATTGGTGTTGTTGGATGATTTCGGGGAGGATGAGCAGGTGGCTGATGCCCGCGATGAGGAGCACGTTCAGCAATATGCGAAGAATGGTCCCGCGGCTGGGGAGGGTGAAGGAAGGGCGACGATTGATTGTTTCATGCTGTGCGACTGTGGGCGGCGCGCTTTCCGTCGCTTTGGCTGAAGAACGCTGCGTCGAGTTTCTGGTCGGTGATGGGGACGAGGCTTGGTGTCTGCGTCGGAGAGCGCGTTGAGGAGATGCAGTCGGTGCGATCCAGGACCCCTCGCAGATGGGAGTTTCGTATATTGACGGCATGATAAGATCTGGTCCCGATATGGATTCGCACGAGGTGGATATCGATTCCGTCAGATTCTCATGGTGGCTCTTGGTCGGGCGCGGTGTTGTATCGGAGGCCTCAGTCTGATGGTTGTTGTTTGTCTTTTTGTTGTTGCTGGCTGAAGGCCCCTCCGCAAGCTGTGCCGACGCGATAACCCATGACTCTCCTAAGATGGAGCTATCCTGAGGTCGTGAGTGTTTGGACATGGTTATGGATCTGAGCAGCAAGGCCTAGAACGTGGCAGATCTGCAGCCTCCCATGGGCCAGAGGGTTGTAATAACTCAAATAGTGCAGGAGGCGTAAGGAGGCACGCGATAGTTAAGTGTTACTTTGTTGACTCAACCCCAGCAACAACAACGGTCTTCAAGCCAGTGGTTGAAATCTCGTATCGTCTAGGCGCTAGCGCATATCAGAAGAAATGCAGTGAATAACAAGGGTTATCTAAGGCCTTTGGTCTCGCAGCTTTCCGCAGTAGTCGTAGGATGATTGAAGTTTTGACCTGCGATGTACGATAGCCACAGAGAGATTTTCAGAAGCATGACACTTGTTTCATCATCGTAATCATCAACAACATTCAAAATCATGAGGGTCTAGGCAATAGAAAGATATAGATCTGGGATCATCTTCAGGACGCGGTGGATGGTGGGGGGGAAGACAATCCGTCACGGGAACGCGATGCCAAATCGGGCCGATCGCGTCGAGTCACGGGCGGCCGAGGAAAATCCTCCAGCTTCATCTGCTCAACGTTCCACCCCGAGCTCCTCACCATGCGACAACTAACTCCCCTGCTACGCCAGGCATCGCTGTCACGAACCAACCTACTACACAGGTCATCGCTCGTGCGCTGGCCATCCGCGCGAGTCCAATGGCTCTCCTCCACGTCGTCGCGGCCTTGTTCATCGTGCCCTGATCCCAAATCCGACCAACCCCAGACCTCGGCCGATTATCGCGCGCTGGGAACCGCCCAGGACCTCTTCACCACTTCCATCTACAGTCCCGGATCGCCGCTCTTTCTTCCAAATGGCACACATATCATCAACAAACTTATCACTTTCCTCCGCACACAATACCTCCAGTACGGTTTCCGTGAGGTTCTGACTCCGACAATATACAAGCGTTCACTCTGGGAAGTGTCGGGTCACTGGCAGAATTACAAGGATGATATGTACGAGGTCCGCGGTCGCGGAGCTACGGGAGAGATGGAGGGAGAGGCGGGCGAGGACGAGTCCTATGGCCTGAAACCGATGAACTGCCCTGGTCACTGTCTGTTGTTCAAATCGCAGACCCATTCTTACCGCGAACTTCCCATCCGCTACGCCGACTTCAGCCCCCTTCATCGCAACGAGATCTCGGGCTCGCTAAGTGGCCTAACCCGTGTTCGCCGGTTTCACCAGGATGACGGTCATATCTTCTGCCGGCCACAGCAGATCAAAGGAGAGATTGCCTCGGCGCTTGGCTTTGTGGACTTGGTAATGACGACCTTTGGACTTGGACCATATCGGCTGGCTCTTTCTACTAGACCTGAGAAGGACTTTATTGGAAGCTTAGAGTTGTGGGACAGCGCCGAAAGCCAGCTCCGTGATGCACTCAACGATACCGGCCGAGAATGGGCTTTGAACGAGGGCGATGGTGCCTTCTATGGGCCCAAGATTGATATTCAGCTTCAGGACCAGGCTGGCAAGTATCATCAGCTATCCACAATCCAGCTTGATATGAACCTGCCCCAGCGATTCGGACTGGAATACCAGGTGGCCGAAGGCCAGCCAGACTACAACCCGGAGACACCCGGCAGGGCGACGCCCGTGATGATCCACAGGGCAAACTTCGGCTCGTTGGAACGATTCCTGGCCCTGCTGATTGAACAATATGCTGGTCATTGGCCGTTCTGGTTGTCTCCACGACAGGGAATTATCCTCACTGTCAACCAGGATGAGGCTGTTGTTCAAAAGGCACAGCACGCTGCTGCCAAGATCTCCGGATTCCGCGCCCTTCAGTCGGATCAGATGGGAGGGGTCCCTCAGCCTCTATCTTTCACCGACTCGACTTTCCTCATCGATATCGACACCAGCAGCCAGACTCTGAGCAAGAAGATCCAACGGGCCAAGCAGATGAAGTACAACCTTATCTTCATCATGGGGCCCAAGGATGCCGCTGCATCCCGCATCACGATCGATATTACTGGTCAGCTGCAGAGCAAGTCTGATCGGAACGCAGAGAGGCTGCAGACTGCCGTAGCTCAATGTTTCGGCGAGAAGGCGCTGCAGAATCCTCGGGCTGTTCCCTTGCCAGTAGATGATGTGCATGGGCTGCTGGTGCAGCTGGAGCGGCAGTTCGTTTGATAGTGGGCCATGTGTATATAGGCGAATATCCCATGTAATATGTTATGATTTATTATATATCTGATATGATACAGATAGCTTCACTTCTAGCCCGGATGATCGACCCGCTGACTAAAGCAGCCTTAACCCAATGTGGTCTCACCAGCATTGAGCACGTGACTCCACGGGTTTTTAAGCTTAATCGGCGCCGACCCCGAGAGGGTCTGCCTGATTCTGGTGGCCGCCACTGGCGGTTTAGCTCCGGTGTCGGGCTGTTGATTGGCTGAGAAAGACTGGACTCATATCGTCATTCCGAATCCCACCTCGCATCCCGATGCCTCCAACCCTACAATCTTCCTACTCGCACTTTGCAAAGGATCGCACAATGAAGGTCTCACGCTAGAGAACAAAATTAGGCCAGGAACGATAACCATCCGGGTCCAGCCACAACTACGGCGAGAATGATAGAGCGCCAATTGGTGCAGAAAGCCATTGGAGATCAAGCCATCATCAAATCGCCCCACGGACGACCCATTCTGGAAATAAAGTGCGCCCACCACCGCACCTCAATCGCTGCGGTTTTTTGGGTTTCTTGTCACGCTGCCGCGCTTCTGACCCCACTCGCGCCGCACTCACGCCGCACTCACGCCGCTCTCTCTCTCTCGCCTTCTCTTTCCTCCTACTCCAACCCCCGCTCTTCCTTCGCGCCAACCGTCGATTTTTTCCCCTCTCTTCTTCTTTACACATGGAGGGAATTGTGCCCCTTGTATCTTCGTTCATGGTTTGCCAGGAGTATCCCACTCCATGGTCGTAGAATCTAATCAGTCGGATATGGCCGAGGTGCCAGCCAAGACCAATCTTCCCCGGAAAAGCGCCTTCTCCTGCGAGGCTTGTCGCAAGCGAAAGGTGGGTTCCCCCTCATCCCAGCCTCGGGTGACCTCCGAGATTAAGTTCCAATCACTCCAAGACAGAGCTTGAATGGCTCTCATGGCTTAGCTATTAGGACTGCTTATTGATCATGTTCGGCTAGGTTAAATGCAATGGGGCTAGCCCATCATGTTCACGGTGTGCAGCACGCGGGGAAGTCTGCGTCTATAGTCTGTGAGGTCCCCTCAGCGCCCGCTCTTGCTGATTGCCTTTACCCCCCACGCGTTCATACTGCATTTCTTAGCAATCCCGTCGACCTTTATTGACTTGTTGATCTTAGGGCTCCGACCTTATCATATACGAAGCAACTAGAATCGCGAGTGGCGCAGCTGGAGGATGCGCTCACCAAGCTACGCAGCCAACAACCCCTGGAGCCCGTGGGACTGAAAGGGGCTTCTCGGGCTTCCTCTGCTTCCATAGGGGAATCTAGCGCAAGTCCCGGACGGCGTACTCGCATAAAAGAGGAGGAAGACGATGACCAGAATCTCACCAGAGACTTCGAGGGGTTGAAGGTCGAGCATGATGGACGAATATCCTTTCACGGTCCAACCAGCCTATTCCAGCTTCCAAGTGGTGTTGTCACCGAGGCTTCCTCAACATCTCACCTGGCTATGCACCTGGAAGGTCGCAAGGAAAGGCTGATCAATAATGCATGGCGGGAACGTGCTTATGAACAGCTGGCGACCATGCCGGTAAGACACTTTGCTTTGCTTCCAGGCAGGAGATTCACTGACATCCATGTCAACCCAGGAGCCATTTCAATATCTTCTTGACTCGCACTGGTGCTGGATCCAGCCGCTCTTCAATTTTGTCTACCGACCTACCTTCACCCGTCTGTTGCCGTCTCCTTGGCATAAATAAAAAGCCCAACTGACACAATCATAGGTGATATGAAAATCAACGGCCCCTATTTCTCCGAAGCTCTTCTCAATGCGATACTTTCCCATTCGGTAAGATGGTGCAAGGCAGAACCGAAGATTGGCCCGATTCTTGATTCCTTTGAAGGCGGTGCGCAGTTCTCGCATCGTGCCGTGGCAGGTCTCTACGACTCGTTGAAAGCCGGATGCTTTGATATACCGACTATCCAGACCCTGCTCCTTCTCAGTGCTCAGGAATGTGGGCGAGGCAATCGAACCCAGGCATGGCTATACAGTGGAATGGCCTTTCGCATGTTGGATGATCTGGGAATTTCAATCGACAGCCGCAAATACTCCGACAGCGCGCACCTGAGCGACGAAGACATCGAGATCAGGAACCGTCTTTTCTGGAGCTGTTATTTTTGGGATAAGCTGATCTGTCTATACTTCGGACGAGCTCCGACCATGCAACAATCTCGCGTCAGCCCTCCGAGAACAATTCTGGATGATACGGCGGAAGTTGAGATTTGGACACCCCACGGTGTCGAATTTCCTGATGGCACGCACTATCCACCCACTCAAGCCCATTCTACTTCATGTTTCATGAAGATGTGTGGCCTAGCCGAGATTCTCAACCAGATTCTTATCCACATTTACGACCCTATTCGGCAGGTCACGGAGGCGGAGTTTTACGAGTGCATCGAGGAACAAGCGAAGAACTTGGCCGAATGGTGGGATGATTTACCTCATTTTTTGAAGCTGCAGGCCACAGACCTCCCACCTTATTCTCCTCCAAGCCACATTGTGACACTCAAGTATGTCTCAACCTTGACTTCCTGTGGCGATTACTGACCACATGTCCCCCTCCAGCTGCCTGTATTATACCATCAACATCCTGCTGCATCGACCGGTTCTATGCTCCAAGACAAACAAGTCCTACGACAAGAGCCACCTTGTCCAATGTATGACGTCCGCAACGGCCATTTTATCACTTTACGACCTATATCGTCGCACTTTCGGGGATGTGCATGTGGTCCTCTCCCTCGCCTACAGTGTCTACACCGCAGCATCCATATATCTTTTGGAAATTCAGGCCCTAAAGTATGCCGCTCAGGGCACCCTTGATAAGCTCAAGTTCTGCATATACGCACTGGAGCGGGTGAAGGGCTCAAATCCTGGTATGCTTATGATCAATCCAGGGCGTATGAATTCCACACAAATTAACCCTTTGCTATGATAGTCATCACCACAGCTCTCAGCCTCATCTACCAGGAGCTGCAGAAGCTCCAAATTGACCTTCACATTGTCCTTCCGCCACTGTCTCAACCCCCACAACCCGAACCGTCACAGACTATTTCTCAACCACAATCCCAGCCTCAATCCCGACCGCACACCTCACACAGCTCCTCGATTCCAGCGACGCTCTCTAATACTTCAAGCCGTCTGTCTCCCGCCCACCAGCCCCAACACTCCAACCAAC